TACATTATTTTATATGCCCACATTAAGTGTCTGAAAAAATTATATTTTGACAATTTAATGATAAATAATATAATATGATAAATTATATTTTTTCATTAATCTAATATTGAAATAGTCACAATCGTTGTTTCTGTAATGATTTAATTATAAACAACATGTATAATTTCAAGTTATAATGATTGAATACTTACTTTTAAATGATTATATTATGAAAATGATTATTAAAATAAAGGAAAAAACCCTATATAATTCATCTAATTAAAACAATTATACTTAAAAGAGTAAGTCTTTTAAACACTACAGGAATTGCATTTATGAAAATTTGCTTGAATTTTCTTATTTTTTTCACATTTAACTTATACATTCATTCTCAATGGTGTAAGTGATTTATCTACTGAATAATCATAATTTCCATTAGCAAAGTATATTTAACCAGATTAAACGAATTCTAAATTAAATGTTGGTAATATATTTAAATCTATAACTTATTTTCTACTTGTTCTAATACTAAAGCATTCTAAAGTTGTGAATATAGTTGTAAATTAGTATCCTACCCAAATCTAAGAATGACTATTTGGAGTTTAACTTTAAGTCCCTATTATTAATATTGGTTTATAATATTACATGTTCCCCAAGTATATGACATTGTTGTTGCAGTGTTGGTATATATTGCTTTTATTCTTATATAATCAATTATTTGAATAATTTAAGCCCTCTAATGCAATAACAAACCATCTATTTGGTTATTTTGCAAATGATCCACTGCTAAAGGCACCTGTTACTGACTTTAATCCTAAATTAATAAAAGCTTCTTCAATTCCAACAACAACAAAATATCCAATTTGTTTCAAATTTGAAAATTTTCCTGCCACTTTGGTAATACTTACAGTGACTGAATTAGTTGTTATTTAACTTATCTAAGTTTAAACTATTAATTATTACCGATAATAGAAAATCGATTTATCCTGTATAACATAAACGAGTAAGAACCACAAATCCAGATTAAGCATTAGGATTTTTAATTGGAAATGTTTTATCATCTGGATTTTCCATATTGAAATTACTTATAACTTCAATACGCTGATCATCTATTGCAAACCATCTTAATTGTAGTGTATATATTCTATTTTTTCTACAGTTTACAATTGCTGTAAATGCTATTAAGAATAGTTATTTCTGATAAATAAATACATGTTTTAGTTATAGTTGTAATTGACAAATAAAACTCCATTTCGGATGTTGATATATCAAGATATTCAAGATAAAAAAATACTTAAGGAATATTTTCAAATGCATTAGAAAATGATATTGTAGCTGTTCTAGAATAATCATTTTAGCAATTGAAACTTGAATCAAAGGTATAATCAAAATTCCTAGCCAATCCAGTATCGTAGTAGATAAAAGGGAATATTACTTAAGCACTTATCAAAAAAATTAAGATTTTCTCCATTTTATTTTACATTATTTTTTATATATATATTATTCATGATTATGGAGAAAAAATAATGTTGATGTTATAAAATAATCTTTATATAATTCATATATCAAATTGATTTAATTGGTAAAATTTAGTTAATTTAAAGATCCAGTTTATATATCTAAAAATAGAATGAACAAATAGATACAGAATTTAGATTCAAAAAATATTAATTAATTAAAAGAAATGTGAAAAAATAGAGGCCAATATTGTCCACATCCTTGTAAAAAATATTGTCATCCTATCCGAGATCATGTAGAGTAAAATTAAATGTTTTTGTGATAAAAAATAAAGTAAAATGTAATGTGGTGAAATAAAAAAAGATTTCTCTTCTTAAACATGCCCACACATTAAGACAAGAACTA